TTGAGGTGTATGTTTGCTTCTTCCTGGAGGCATAACTGAAGTCTTCCATCTCTATGGCTGTTGCAAAGTAAAATGAGAGTATAATATGAAAGGTGTGGCCATGTGGAACCCAAGGTATTAAATTCAAAATTTTTTTCTTTTAACTTTATTCCAAATACCTGAATTCTACTTACATGGGCCACAATATGTTAATGTAAAATTAAAATAATACCCTAGACACAACCTAGGATCTTTTATATTCACTGCTAAGAGAAATAGAAACCATCCAAGACCTTTAAACTAACTTCTACTATAATTTTTAGCACAAAATAAGTTCTAAAAAATTCACAGAAAATAGGAAATAGTACTGGAAATTAATTAAAACTACTGGGAAGACTTACTGGAAGATGCCTGGAGTTATCTTATCAGGGCTTGGTATACCTCACACCCGATTCCCTGACCAATGACACACTTTTACTCCTTAGGGTATTGTTGGAAATTCTAAGATAGGGAAGCTTTATAGGCCATACTTCGTTTTCTAAGGTTTTAGAGAGCTCAAATATCAACTAGGGTTTTCACAAACCCTACAGGAACAAATTAGGGATAAATCTGTGAGTTGATCTCTCTCTGGGCTGGACTTCTTCCTTCTTCAAATTACAACAAGCCTCTCTTCTAGGGTTTCGTATTGTACCCAATGTTCAAAAATGCGGATTCGGCCACTTAGGCGTTTTGGGTGCTTGACCGCTTAGGCGCCCACATAGAAACAGGGTGCCCTCACCAAACCTGAACCCCCCCACCCCCCCCAAAACAAAGAATTAAAGCATTTACTATTACTTTACAAGTTACAATTAGACTTAAATGAATATATAAGATCTTAGTTTCACTTTCACATCAGACTTAACTCATTAAGATATCACATAATCAATTATTTATCAAATAAAGTAAAGCAAAAATAATAAAATATCAAAACAATGATACATTGTACAAAAAAGGAATCAACTATTCATAAAAGCATACGATATATGCTCAATTTCATTGTCAAAATGAGAAAAAATTCAATTAATCACAAAAAAATCACTCTTTTAACTATAAACATGTAAACATATTGTAAAAGCAAAAAAAAGTAAAAGAAGAAACACATGATTCACAACATAATATATTGAAGCAAAATCAAATCAAAACCTTCTTTCAAATATGATAATAATTTAAAAATAGCAAAATCAAATCGATGTCAGTGTAAACCTCGTCTATTGGGTCGCCAAAATTCCTCAAAATCAACTACTAGAAGTTCCAAATCCACCCATGAACTATTTGCCTTGTTTCAGGGAGAAATTGAAAAAATAAAAAAAGTTATCGATTTTTCGATAAATCTCAAAAAGAGTAGTTTTTGGGGAGTTTTTCTCACCCTAAAAGCCATGTTTTTGGTTTTGGGGGTTTAGAATACCCCCCAAAACCTTTTTCTCCCCTTTCTAGGGGGAAAAAATATCTTCTTTAACCCTCAATGAGACCCATTTTCCACCTTTTTTCAGCCTGTCACGAGGCGGCGCCTAGGCTGGTGCTCAGACGCAAGTCGTATAATGACCCTACCTATCAAGCAACTAGGCATTTTTAGAAAATTTCCACCTAGGCAGTCGCGTAAGTGGTCAGGTGGGCAAATTTTCGAACACTGATTGTACCACCTTCCTTTTCTTTTCTTTGGGTGGCGTGATACAAAATAAGGGGAGAGAAAAAGTGGTGTGAGGGAAAAAGGAGAGAGAGATGTGAAGTAAACTTGGAGAGAGACTTGGGGCGTAAGATAGAGAGAGGATCTAGTTTTATTCATAATTTGAGAGAGGGTTTCAAATAGCTTTATATAGAAAGTAATCTATTGCCTAGTTAGAATATGATTCGTTCTAAGTATTGCATTATTCAATTTCCAGCTAGACCTTTAGGATAAATAGGAAATCTGTGGGGTGAGAGAGAGATTTAATCAGAGCCATCCATCCCCAAAATCAGCCATCATAATTTTGGGTGGAAAGATAAAAACCTTATCCCTTAGACTTTGACCCAAGTCCAACTCCTATTTAAAATTAAAATATAATCCGTCTTTATCATAGATCTCCCAAGACACTAATTTGAAATCATAAGATTCCTCATCTATTAACAAACATAAAATATTTAACAACAATAAGAAAGTGGGGCGTGGCCCCCACTTCCTATAAAAACATTGTGTGCCCCCCTTTCACACATATAGTGGCATGCCAAAAAGTTAAAATAAAATGTACAAGTCTTTTAAGAAAGTGGGGCATGCTTTTGCTAAAAACATGCCTTGGAGAAATTGGAACTTCTTTTTTAAAATATTTTTCGGAACCAAGGAAACTCGATTCCTTAGTTTTGGAATCTCGATTCCGTAATTTCGGAATCTCGATCTAGTAGATCTAGAGAAACTTGAACCCCCTAATTGTGGGTAGACCCTCCCAAATAGATTGAATCTGGCTTCTAGCGACGTTTAAATCTTGATTCCATTAATGATGCACGATTCTACAAGTAATGGAACTCATTTCGTCAAGGTTTTGAATCATCTACACCGTATAAAACATTAGTTTCTTGTAAATAATAACCACAAAAGTAATGTCTATTTTCTGGTGGATATCATGCTTTAAGGTCCCAAACAATAGCATTAGGCAGCATGTGTACTCGGAAGGGGTATTATTATTTATAAGGCATGTATTTTAGAAGGAATTTAATGAGATTGTGTTGCTTTTTTAGTTATATTTATTGTTTTTCTTATATTTGCGTTAATGTAAACTGCTATAGTTTCTTTACCTTGCTCATAGTTATGGGAATTGTTTAAGTGAACTTGCACGACGTCTCGCCTTGCAACATTGCTTAGTACTGTACTATCGATTGCAAAATTGTTATTAGTAATTTTATTTTTACTTTTTTTTTTCCTGATTTAAATGCTTATAGAAGAATGTTCCTTATATTTGCGGTGATGTAAACTGCCTTGGTTTTTTAATTTTGCTCATATGTTATGTGAAATTATTTAAATGGCCATAGAATAATGTTTCTTATATTTGCGGTGATGTAAACTGCCTTGGTTTCTTAATCTTGCTCATATGTTATTTGAAAAGACTGCTTAAGTGATCTTACACCATGTGTAGCCTCACAACATTGCTTAGTATTGAAATACTGAATGTAAAGTGGTTATTAATAATGCTAATTTTATTTACTAGCCTCTAATTTAAATGGCTATATAAAATATTGAAATCATGTAATAACATATAAAGCAACACACATGGATTGACGATTCTACATAACAACATATCTATGTACCACATATGTCAGAAACTCGAATCAAGTGATGTTGGAAACTCGATTTTGCTATTGTAATTCTCGATCTCAAACCAGCATGGATCTTTGATCCATATACTTCAAAAACTTGATTCCAAATATGTGAGAAACACGATTCTATAGATGATGGCAAATCTATTAAAAATATGTTAGAATCATGATTCCATAAATGATGGAAACTTGATTCCGCATATGTCGGAAACTCGATTCCGCATATGTCAGAAACTCGATTCCATAGATGAGGGAAACTCGATTCCGCATATTCATGAAACTTAACACTTGGAGTGTTGAACCCAGGGGGATCGGAACCTCGATTCCAAGTAGGCCGGAATCTCGATTCCATATGTGGATGAGACTTGGACCTATTTCGATCGATACTCGATTCCTGAAAATTGGGAATCTCATTCCCAGCGATTCCTATTGTACGAACAACAATTCCTACAATCGGAAACTTCTTGCTAGGCGTAATTCCACGATTTCGGTTCCTGAAACAATTCGGGTTCCCATACGTTTCTAACAACTATGATCCAGTACTGTTTTCTTATCAAACCCAACAAATTCCCTTGACCCACAGTCTCAAAGCAGAGGCTTATGATTGACTTGTCAAAGTTGGATAATAAACAGTGGGACTATGATCCTGGAATGTGGATTTCAGTTCCCCCCCTTCAAGAGCAAGTGTAGCACTTGTCACCACAGTGCAAAAGAGGCTCTCTCTATGTACATGTACATGTGTCTTTCTATAGGGATGCTTCCTAGTAATGCGGCTGTCATGTGTACATATCGTGCGGAAGTTTGTTGAGGCTTTGACTTTTGCTCTCATATGCTTATTACTGTACACAAGAGACCAAACAATTCTCCTGGCCTACAAACATGATCCCTGGGCATCGCGCTGACCTCAACAAGAGATTACCCACTGCAAATCCTTCTCTGTAGTTCCACATGCCCAAGACTAAGGGTTTTGGACATGACCAGGCCATAAACTGCTTAACTCTTGGTCAGTCAACACACACACTCCCACTGAAGTGCATATACCATTATAAATATCATTTTACAAGCTCTCCTTTAAAGGCCACAAAAACCCAACTCAATATACTCTGAAGCATGGTAATTATTTCCTTGCATTGGAACTTAACTCCCTCTTTCCCATAGATTATACTTTTCTGATTATGAGGTTGCTGAGATTTCTTCTTTACTCTCGAGATAGTGGTTTCCCTAAATGCAAAAGTTCCCTTGGTGGTTATAGTTTTATACATGGGTCTCTTGTTGTAGAATTGTCGTAATTAGTAAGAGTTACAAACTGAGGACGGTGGAAGGGAAGTCAGTCAATGAATCTGGTACGCACATGACACAATGTTTTTTTGAATGATGCCTCAATTTCTCCAAAATGCCTATCATGCTACAGAGAGAGCGAAGAAGAAGCTGTAATCATAATTTCTCTCTCCACAATTATTACATCCATAGTCATTTTATTATAATATTAACTAGTGGTGCTTTTCTATGTCATGAAATGAGATTAAGTTCTTAATAATATCCTAAGGCAATTGTTGTACTTCCATTTCTAAAACACCATGAAGGATGTGATAACAATACTGGAACAAAGAATCACTCCTCTTGAAAACTTGGTGTTTGTAGCTCAGAAGAACAGAAACAATGTTTCTTTCTTCTTATACTTTTATTTGTTTGTACAGTATGCAGAGCTCAAGCCAGTGCCTTGTCTTACATATTCAGATGCCCAACTTTTGAGGGAAAATTGTGCAACTCCTATTCTGAAACAGGTGAACCCCTGTGTGAAACATTTCTGCAAGACTTTCTGCTACAATTTTCTACTTGTGTACATCATGTACTGTGTCTTCTATTTCATAGTAATTGAGCATTTTTGTTGAATTTCAGTCAATGATCAATTATTTGAACTATTTTGTCTATACTATATTCTGTAATCCAATTAAAATGTAACCTGCATGGGTAAATACTTAATGTTATACCATAGTGGTGCCTTAGTTTCTATACATTAAATAGCCATCTTTGTTTCCAGATTCTTGATTTAATTATTATGATGATTTGGTCACCTACCCACTTATTATAATTCTTATTCACCTATTGTTTCTGTGGTTATGTTGAATGGCACACTAGATTATTTTGTGACAAGTCCAGGATATTTGGAATTTTTTTTTTTTAAATTGATCAATGTACCATTCTGAAGTGGTTTTTCTTACTTCTGAAATACTTAAAGCTGAATCTTTCACATGTGGGAGCTGAATCTTTTAATCGTCCAACCAAGTTTTCTGTAACACAGTTGTTCATTGTTTCTCACAATGTTAGAAAAAAAAAGGAGGTGGGCAAGGTGGCTTTCCCAGAAACACCTTCACCCGGTAGGGGGGGGGGGAGGGGAGGGTGCACCCCTGGCTACAATTTATTTCAAACATAGAAATTTTCTTTTGTGATATAGTCTATTTATTTCAAGCAACAATATCCCAATCACTTCAAATACATACATAAGTGAATATACACATTTTTTTTTTTTGTTTTTTACTTTTTCACACAATTTCTTTAATTAATCTCCCATCCAACCAAAACATGTCCCTTGCACATTTAGTACCACATATCAGTGAGACTGGTCCTTTATAGCATCAACGATCATTTCAAAATTATGTTTAAAGAATAAGAGAAGTTATCTTTTGAAATAATCAATGAAATCACAACAATTCCTCAGATCAACCATTAATTGCTGCCAATTAACCATTAGTTTCCATTAGAGTAGCAAAAATTCTGTGATATAATTCCAAAACCCACAAACACCCCCTTAATTAAGTTTATTAAGGACGCTTATGCTTTTTTGCGGGTGAAGGGTTGAGAAAGCCTGCTGTATACACGAGGCTATGGGCCAAGGAACACTATGAGTGATATGGAGGCTAGATCAGTCTATGGAGAGGCTTGTGAATTGGTTTGTGCAGTATAACAATGCATGAGAAGGGGATGCCTAATGAGGTACTCAAGGTCTCTATTTATGGCTAAAATTTAGGGTTTGGGAGGAGTCTAGAATGTTCTTCTTAAGGAGCAATATGAGCCATTGATCTTGGTGATCTAGGGGGTGACGAAAGACTTTAAATCCTTCAACCCTTGCTGTCATCAATCAAGGGTTGAGATTCACACCTTTATGCTCTAACTTTCCAAACCCAAATTTTCCTTTAGTTTGGAACATATTACAAAACTGTGTTTTAATTTCCAATTAGAGTTCAAAACTTAAGTTGCGGTCTGCGGTTCAAATTCTCGAACCGCTTGTTTTTTCCAAACCAAATGTCATGTAAATATATGTACGTGGAGTGCATGTTATTCTTTCTTGTAATTTGAATAAGGTTTGAATTTGTATGTGCGTGGATGTATGCATGTCATACTTTGGATGTACGTGGATGTATATACACGTGGATGTATATGCATGTCAAATTCTCAGACCTCGTCCATGAGTGAGAATAAGGCTTAGATTTGTTGCAACTGAGAATAAGGCATAGATTAGTTGCAACAAATCTAAGCCTTATTCTCACTCGTGGACGATGTCCGAGAATTTGACATGCATATACATCCACGTACATCCAAAGAATGCAATGCATACATCCACGCACATACAAATCCAAACCTTATTCAAATTATCAGAAAGAATAACATGCATTCCACGTACATATATTTACATGATATTAGGTTTGAAAAAAAAAGCGGTCTGAGAATTTGAACCTTGATCGCAACTTGACTTTTGAAAAAGAAAAACCAGTTTGAGAATTTGAACCTCTGCTCGCAACTTAAGTTTTGAAAAATGAAGCGGTCTGAGAATTTGAACCTCGAACCACAACTTCTGTTTTTGAAAAAATAAAGCGGTCCGAAAATTTGAACCTCGGTGCAACTTAAATTTGAAAAAATAAAGTGGTCCGAGAATTCGAACCTCGGATCGTAACTTAAGTTTTGAAAAAGATAAAGCGGTCTGAGGATTTCAACCTCGGACCTCAACTTGAGTTTTGAAAAAATAAAGCAGTCCGATAATTTCAACCTCGGACCGCAACTTAAATTTTGAACATCGGATCATAGGGGCAAACTTGGAAAAAAAAGCCGCGCGTTGATCGACCTTTCTATTAATTTTTGGCTAAAAAGGGAGCATCCCGTATTTTCTATACTTTTTTAGGATCTATACGAAATTAACTCTTCCAATTAGCCCTTGAAAATATCTTCACATAATTAATTGTTTAGAAACACATCGGTGAGTATTGAGAGAGAGAGGGGCATGCTCCTTTTTTCTTCTCGCTAAATCTCGTTCATTTTACATTAAAGGACTCACGGCGAAAGACAAAATCTACATTCTCTCTTCTCTCTTTTACTTAAAGCTGACATTGCCTTAAGTAACTCTATGCATGGAGGGGGATCTTATGCTATTTGTCCCTCCTTGGACCAATTACACAATTGCCCTTGGACCTTTGCTGTCAAATGACTGTCGTTTGCCCCCCTGTTCTCTACATCACCATGTGTGCAATTACACATATCCCCGAACTATTCCATTCAACAATGTCAAGTATTTCAAACAAGGACAAAGGGTAACTTCATCACTATGTGGGGACAATGTGGGGCCGATGTGAGGCGCATTGACCATCTGGTCTTCGCATGTGCTACTATCTCACATGCTCTATCCTTCTTCGGTATTTCTAAATTTGTCTTTGTTTCCAACATTTTTCATACTAGAAATTTTTAGCATAAATCCAAAAATTCTCAAAAATCATTTTTCAATCTTGTTTATGAAAATAACTTGGTTTGGGATTCCAAATAATCATTAAAGGGAAACTAGGTCCCTTGGGTTGGAAACTGGGTCCTTGGACCACTAGCTATTGCTCGTTTTGAATAAGGATGTATATCTTTTGATTTTGGAAGAAAAAAATGTCGAATGTTTTTTCAATTTTGATAAATATCTCAAAATCTAGGATTTTTTTGGAGATTTTTTCTTTCTTTGGAACTCACAAAAAGGGTTTTAGGGGCATACAGAGGCCCCCCCGCCACATAAAAAAAGCCAAACAAAAGAAAAAAAAAAACCTTGTTGAGAAAGAGTCCAAAAATTCCCTTGGCCAGGGGCTTTCTTTACTCTCGTCGAAGGTGCATCAAGGCGTTACCTGGGCGCTTTCCCTAAGGCGAGCACCTAAGAAGTTGGGTGCCTAGGCAAGTGCTTAGGAGCACTCTATCCTAGGGCACCGACATAGTGCACCCTAAGAATTTTTGGAGCTTGGCTGCCTAGGGGGCTCAGTGGCCGAATTTTTGAATAATACTGGGGCTCATGCTTGGTTCATCAAAGCTGGCCATTAAATAGAGGGAGCATGGGTCTAGTGTATGAATTACAGTTCCGCCTTTGAACAAGTCATGTCTGATAAACATGTGCACACTACCACAGTGGTGTGGCCTCTCTTCAACACATTTACATATCCTACCCCAAAGGGTCCCTTCCCATTGATGCGGCTGCATATATACATGTTGTGTAATGTTGAGGATTTAACCCATGCCCTTACAAGCCACCAATCGCATATAGAAGATTGACAACCTCATGGCTAACCAACTTGGCTTCTCTCCGACCACAATAAGGGCTAACCCTACATACCCTCCATGGTTATGCTTTATGCCCTAGGCTAAAGGGTGTTGGACTTCACTCATGGGCCTAGACTGCTCAGCGCAGGTTAGTCGACAAGCACTACGAAGCGTGCCTCTCTGATCCCACATGGACCACACTCCCACTTGAGTACTGTATCACTATAGTCATAGTTATTATTTGCTCTCAGGGCCTTTAAAGGCCACATATCCCAACACGGCTTTCCAAAAGTGTGGATATCATATGCACATGCCATGGGGTGGCAATGTTGAGGATTTGACCCTTGCCTTTACAGGCAGTGAGCCCCATGCAGGAGTTGTCTTGCTCCTGGCTAACTGCCACTTGTCTTCCTCAGTTGCGTCTTATGCCGAGTGCTAAAACGTTTTGGTGACTTGAGGCCCCAATCCAGGTCCTAAACCGCCTAGACCGAGTGAAACAAATGTGTGTTCATCTAGACCAATGTATTATGCTTCGTCCCGACCCTTATTAGGACCATATGCTCCACAAGAGCTGAGAAAAATCCACCAGTTGATTTGAGTTACAATGGGGTCAAGTCTTTGAAATGCCATACATCTCCCCAACAAGTGTTTCAGCTCACCATCATGTGTTTGCATGATGCAGGTATGGTGCTGTGTTTCAAGAAATATTGTGTTATTTAGAAGTGAAATTGTGCGGCCCTGATTAATGGAAATGAAGGATACTAGTGCGCAGATGTCACTTTAGACTATCGCCTCATAACCTAGTTATGCTGGGGTCTTAGCAACTGGAATTTCGGGTTGAATACAAAGCTTACAGATAAAAAAATAAGAAATAAATGCAGATATTTAGTTCTTTATTTACAAATTAAAGATATTTAGTTCCTTATTCACAAATTGTTTCTAGAATGAACCTAAGGTAAAGTGGAACGATGCATAAAACTTTTGCAAATTAAGATGGATGACAATATGACTGTGGTTGATTAAACGGCAATATGATATGATGCTATATCTAAATGTATGCTGAATGTTTCTGTTGGTGTGTAATATGAGTGTAGTTTTACATTTGGGATTTATGTGCATATTGTCAAACACCTACTGATTAATGGCATTATTTTCCATTCATAATATCTACTTCATATATATAAAATAAGTCAAAAGTACAAACTAAAAAACCATGCTTTTTGCCCTCGCAAACTATACATGCTCTGGTACTCTAGCGTACGAGCTAAATAATGGTCTCTTTGTTATCTTTCCACAACATATGAAATTAAATGGTTAATAATACGCTTGGTCAATCGGCTATTAGAAAATTAGGATATCATAAATACTCTGCAATAAATAAAGAATAAGAAATACCCCTCTATGTTATATGTTACATGTACACCTGTACATGCCAATAAAATTTCCATATCAAGTTACGTATTTCTCATCTTCAGATTCTTGATTGCTATGAACATGTTATTGCATGTTTGATTGTAAGTAGAGAGACTGGTTTTCATGTGCTTGCCACCAGCTGGGAAACTCCTGCAGATTTTATGCATGGTAGAGGATTTGTTTTTTTTGGTTGACACTTGATGGCTTCTTTCATATTTGAGTAACAATTTTGCTTGTTTAGGTGAGAAATGATGTCATAAGATACCGCTATGGAGATGAACAACATTTGGAGGAAGCCCTGAAAAGAATTTTCCAATATGGTCAGGTACAATTCTACATGTTCATAATCCAACATCTAAAGCTTTTTTTGGAATAGGTCAGCTTGGTTTGCAGGAGGGAGGTTTGAACCCCAGACCTATCTCCTGCAAATCAGATGTCTCACTATAGATCAAAGCATGATTGGCCAATCCCTAAATCCTTGTCTTTTCTAAGCATTATAACTTTAAATATTCTAGTCTAACCAGTAAACATCTGTAATCTTCAAGAAATAAGATAGAATAGTTTTTTCTGCTGTTATGAGACCGTCATATAGTGGAAGAAAGTTATTCTTACTTGTAGATTTATAGAGTACTCATGTTTGTTTGGAGTAGTGTTTTAAAAATCGACGATCTGATTCGGAATCGGGCATCGTCCAACCCGTCCCAGATTTGAGTATTAAACGGGATTTGGTGTGATGTTGTCATGCATCGGCGAATCTGTAGAGTATGACGTCAGGATTGGCGAGTTTCATTAGAAATCGAAGACATGTCACCATTTTGGCTTTTTTTTAATGGTAATATTGAAATTTTTTTCAAAACATGGGGCACTAGCCCATCTTAACAGCTGTCATCCCACTGACACCTTTTGATCATCCCCTGACACCTTACTCCCCATTAAACAACATCAACTATCGATGTGGGCCTCAGCCATTTTATAGGAGTCAATTGTCCCTCAAATTTTTGATGTGGGACAATTGCCCACTTTGTTTGAGATGGCTCGATTATTGAGACATGCAAACTTATTAAGTATACAGACGCTATGTGCTCGCCTATTGAGACATGTAAATATAAATTTGTGTTGTGCGTGCAAGCTTTTTTAAAAAAACGGACGTGTATTTAAAAATTATAGTAATATTATAATTAATAATTATACTAGTCACATTAATCACATTATATATTATTTATGAATATTATTTATATAATATACTGTTTTTTCTTATAGTTGTAAATTAGATTTTTAAATTAGATGATATTGTAAAAAATTTATTCTTATTTGCATAGAAAATGGTTATAAAATATAAACCAGGGTTTGAAAACTCGGCCAGTCGAACCTGACTTGCCTGGTTCGAGTCGGGAATCGGCAAATCCCGTGCCGGTTCCACTACAATACCGGGAAACGCCTGTGTCTTGAGAGAACCGGGCGATTCCCAATAGTGAATCGCCGAGTCTCAACAGTGACTCCTCCAAGAACATGGGCTGCACAGTGTTCTTCACGATTTTCATGGTTTTTTGTCATTTTCTTATCATTTTTCATTTTTTTCAGCTTTATAATCCAATCTTGCAGGCTTTATTTTAAATTTTTCAGTCATTTCAGTCAATAAAAGGTAGTAAAAATCACCGATTTTGATAAAAATAATTGGATCTGTGAAGAACCTTAAAAACGTTTTAGGGTTGTGCCATTTCTTTGATTTCAAGCAAAAGAGGGCATCATTTTTTGTAAAATCTGAGGGTTTTTGATCGTAAGAGTGTTGTTCAGAAGTTTTTGTTCATAATTTTTGAGTATTTTGGACCAATACATATCAAATTTGAATTGGAAGCCACGGGTGCACGAAAAACAGGTAAGAAATGCTGTTTTTTTTTTTTTCCACCATTATATCAAATTCACTCAATATTTTACAAATAATATGTTAAAGTTATAGGCTTTTGATTCGTTATAGTGTTGTTTATAATCACATGTATTCAATTTGATTTTATTTATTCAATTTGAGCGTGATTTTTGAGAAAAAAAGACTGATGTTTGTGAAAAAAAAATGGACTGCATTTTTTTTTTTTTCCACCATTCTATCAATGTCACTCAATATTTTGCAAATAATTTGTTAAATTTATAGGGTTTTGATTCGTTATAGTGTTGTTTATCATCACATGTATTTAATTTGATTTTATTTATTCAATTTGAGCTTGATTTTTGAGAAAAAAAGGCTGATGTCTGTGAAGAACAAATAGACTGCGGTTTTTTTTTTTTTCTTCCATTCTATCAATTTTACTCAATATTTTGCAAATAATGTGTTAAATTTATTGGGTTTTGATTCGTTATAGTGTGTTTTATCATCACATGTATTCAATTTGATCTGATTTATTCAATTTGAGCTTGATTTTTGAGATTAAATGGCTGATGTCTGTGAAGAGCTGCGTTTTTTTTTTTTCCCTCAATTCAATCGATATTATTTAATATTTTAATAATAATGTGTTAATATTATAGGGCTTTGATTCTTTATAGTGTTGTTTATCAAAACATGTATTCAATTTGATGTAATTTATTTGATTTGAGGCGGATATTTGAGTTGGAATGACTGATGTTAGGTGGGTCTGTGAAGAACTGTTTTTTTTTTTTAATTCATGATCAATTTATTTGAAAAAATGTGATTTTTCAAAAAATTGTGACTAGTTTTTGATTATCATGAGGAATTAAACAATATTTTTAATTTTTATTGTTAAATTTTTAGTTCAAAAAATTGCATGTTGATAGATTATTTATGCAAAAAAAAACATGTTATTATATTTTTAATGCAAAACTCTATTTTTTAATTTGTTATTAATGCAAAAAAATACATTAACAAGTACATGCTGTTAAACTGTATTATATTTTTTATGCAGTTTTGCTTTAAAAATTTATTTTAATTTTTTAAATTTTTAATGCAAAAAATACATGTTAAACTGTATTATCATGAGGAATTAAGTTGAATATCATTGTAAAAAAATCGTGGCATGTATGATAATTATAGTGTCTTGCATTTTTCAATTTTATTATTAAATTTTTAATGAAAAAAATGTATGTTCTTGATAATGGAGTTGTAGCCATGTTTGGAGCTTGCATTTTTTATTATATTATCTTGCATATATGTAATTGAGATGTACGACTATTTGTGATCATTTCAATTGAGTTGGGACTGTGCCCACTATATCATTGTAAATTTTATTTGTGGCATTGTGAATGACTATATCATTGTAAATGTTTTTTGTGTCAAATGTACGTGTAGTGGCGTTATGGATGACTATATTATTGTAATTTTTTTCTTGATTCTAAGTGTGACTTATACAGATTTTTTTTATCTATAATATTGCATAAATATTTTGTTTTTCTCAGTAGGAACTAATTCACGTTTCTCAAAATGAAGATTTGTGACAAGTCCATATGTATTGGCATTGTGAATTACTATACCATTATAAATATATTTTTTATTGATACTATATCAATGTAAATTTTTTGTTCTATATGTAGTGGCTGATATAGGTTATTTTTATCTATAATGTTGCATAAATAAATTATTTTTCCCAGTAGGAACTAAAATATTTTTGTC